TATCTTCCCATTCTTGGAGGGTGCTGACAGCGCGATGGCTGACTCCTGAAAGCAGTTCATACGAAAGTTGGAAATGGGTAAGCAAGGACGAGCTTCAGAGGTTGTAAGAATACAAGGCTGCTGAGGAAGCCGGGAAGATTGACGATTTCAGTGGAGAGATATTATGCCTCACCTTGCGAGTACTGCTAAAGAATCAAGGTCGTGACACCCACAGTATCAACCACTTGTTTGATATTCCTTTTGTCGACCCCTCTTTGGATTCATCAGACCTGGATTAAGTATCTAGCGTGAATATAGCATCTATACCAACTTCTCTAGTCCCGGCGTCTCGCCAATTCTAAAAACGTACTTCACCGCACTCGCTTTTCCGTCCTTCAAGTCCTTCATCGCCCCCTCAACCCCCAACAAGCCACCTGCTCTGACTTCAAATGGATGGCTCTCCAACTCGCCCGTCTGCAGGGCCCGTGTGAACCACCGACAGAACACGAAGCACAGATCACGGCAATCGTCAATACCACCGATCTGGTGGGCCGAACTGACCCAAGTGTTCGACGCAACCGCGGGAGAAACATCGGGGGGACTCATGAGTACATAATTAATGTTGCCACCAGGGTTCATGACAGAACGCAGCACAGTAGTACTATCCTCGGTAACAATTGTGTCTAGGGCATGATTTGCCGGGAGATCGTTGGCACCAGTGGATGAGCGCAGAGCATTGCGAATGTCAGCGATGGTTTTCTCGGGGCCCTCCCGATAATCCACAACTATGTCGCCCTTGCTTTCATCCAGGAACTTCCGGATGTAATGAGCGCCCTTTCCGGCAATCGCAATAATCGGGTGGATGTTGCTGAGTCTGGCAAACTTGATCGCGTAGGACCCGACTGCCGTGCTTGCACCGTAGACAATGAACGGCGTCGTGGCGCTGGGGGATTTGCCTTTAGCTGCCGGTGACCAGGGGAATTGAAATCCAAGGTGGTGGTAGAGAGATACAACTGCCGTGAGGCCGGCTAGAGGGATGGTTGCTGCCTCTGTTGGGAATTAGCATAGTACAATAACGACGATAGTGTTGGATATACCTTCAAATGAAATCTTCTCTGGTAAATGGAACGTAGTATGGCTCCATGCAACCGCATACTCGGCATAACTGCCTCCAGGCGCAAGCATTTCGTGAAAAGCTCCGACTCGATCACCGGGCTAGAGGCAACAAGATATCTATTAATTCCTGACAATCACCAGTCTTGGGATTAAAGCGACAGAACTCACCCGAAATTCGACTACGTTTTTCCCCACCTTTTCGACCACACCAGCTATATCATCGCCTTGATTTACTCCCTCTCGGACTTTCTCGTAGCGCTCAAAGAACGGTTGCTCCTCGCTGTGCGCAAGATCCGGCACCTTCCAATCCTTGGGGTTCGATCCGGAGACGACGACACGGATCAGGACCTGGTCGTCATTAATCTCAGGGACCGCCGATTCAATCAGCTTGGTCTTGCAGTCGTGAAGGTTGATGATCTCTTTCATCCTGTTTAATGCCAAAAGCAGCTGGCGTTTGGATGCACAGGTTCGCTTCGTTGACCTCTCCAGACGAGTTCCGCCGGATTCCCAGAGATATTTAACTCAACGGATATAGGGGCTCCCATGACTACCGAAGTTAACCTGGCATCTTCGCTAATGACTCGTGCAGGACATTATTAATCAGGGTGGACCCTCGGCGGTTGATTTGACGTCACAGGTTGTGGAGGTTGAGCGGATCGAGGAGTTGGAGAGATCTAAGCCGGTGGCCTGTCATTATGTTTCGAGCATGCCGTTATTGCTGGGTGGTTGCGATGACAATGGAATTGTATTTGAATTGCGATTATATCTGAGAAGGATACAAAAGACTGACGGGCTCTTCCATAGTAATCGCGAAGCTATACAGAGGGTTGCGTTCGTATATAAAATGCCGTCGGCCCGATGTGAGTGGATCTCGGCAGTTGCTCGGGACCCGGAAGCTGCAGGATCCGTGAAGACTTTTATCTTATCGCGTGTGGAAGGGAATATAAGCATAAAAGATGACGATGGAGCCTCTTGTTGGACTGGATCTCGGTCTCTCTCAAAGACTAGGAACAAAGCTACATAACAATAGGCAACGTCAATGATGCTTGACAGATTGACAATCCTTGGAAGACCCGGTCTCAGCAGCTCTAGACTGCAACTCAATGACACGGTTGTCTTCCCCGTCGCGGTCTAGATTGGATATCGCTGTTTGCAGTTCTCAGGGTAATGGTTTACCAACAGCCCACAGATCATGCCATTGGTGGCAGCCTTTTCCACGACGTCCAAACTACAGTCTGGAGATTTGTACGAACCTATATTAGCCATTGATGTTGACTGAAGGGACAGTTGTCTGACTTGTTTTCTTCTTTCGGATATCTGTTCCAAGGTTCGGGTGGTGTTTAAATACAGCAAACTATCAAACCTTCTCATTTCCATGGTCTGGACACACCCAGATCGCTCTATAACGCTGTACATATTCTCGCCTGTTTGTCGGTCTATAAAAGAGAACGAGGATTCCAACCCTACCCTCTCTATTCTGCATTGTAGTTCTTTTCACATACACACATTAAAAGGATCTCGAAGCAAGAGGAAAAGAATCATGAACCTCAAGACCATCCTAGCCCTTTGCGCCATGGCCAGCATGGCCACCGCCGCTCCAGCAGGAGATTTAGAAAAGAGAGATTGCCCTGCTGGTAAGAAACGATTTTGCTGCGACACTTTTTTCCCCGTCAATATCCTTTTCGTCCGTGCGGTTGGGACTAACTGCGAACGTAAGTTACCGGAACGTCCCTCTCCAATGAGATGGAACTGACTTCTGTAGTCCAACAGAGCGCAAACGGAAACTGTCCGACGGGAAAAGTACAGGGTTGTTGCGCCAGCAATCTTCCTCTCGTAAGGTTATTCCTTTTTGAACAGTGAAGGTGCCTGCTGACTTGACTCAGAGTGGTGGGAATCTTGCTTGTACCGCGTTGTAATCGTCGCCATTTCTATTATCATGCAGCAAGTCTATGTTTGTGCTCAACTTCCTCGTTTAATTTCAGTAAGGGCGGTTTCAGGTGCAGAAACGACAGCCAGAAAAACTATGTTGTACTGTCCGTTATGGGAAACACCAAAAGTCCTGACATTTGTATATTCAAAGTTCATCAATCGCTTGCAATTTATCATACTTGGTAGGCTCCTTCGCGAAAACAATTAATGTCCCTTGTTGCATAAACTCGGGCAACAAACTAAGCAAGGACAGAGTAGAGAAATTCGCTAAATTTCGTTGGCAACCCAGCAATGCAGTCGACGTAACATACTAAATAAGCAGGAGAGACAATATCTTTGCGCCACGAGGATAGAAAACACGAAGAGTGAAATACTCGCGCCATTATGCCCTCCCTTCAAGACTGAAGATGTTCCAGTCACTCCTCCAACACAGATTTGTGGAAACGAGATACATCACCCATGTAGATCACACACCAACACTCAAGCAGAAGATGTAATATGGAGAATCGCTGGGTTTCCCGAATCCTTCGACCAAACCTCAATTCTGCCAAACTTTGTTCCTAAGAATATAGAAAATTTTCCATCTTCATCAGCCCCCTTACAAGCAGGTGTAACATCGATGGCCCCCATATTGGCATATGCAGGGACCTCAATCTCCGCAAAGACGTCACCCGCATCCGGCGCGTTCTCTCCGGTAACCGTATCCTCGTCCCAGTCGGAAGAGAGCGCCTGGGCTGCGGTGACATTAACCGGTGCCTCGAGGGGCTTTGTGAAGGCGGAGAATTGGACTGTGCATGCTGTGATGGAGGCAGCCGGGACGGGAAGTTGGAATGCGATCAGAGAGCGTATATAGGCCAGTCCACCGGTGTTGGCCTGGAGCGTGCCATCATGACCCAGCGTGCATTTGTAGCAGTTACGATCGGGACATGTAGGGCAGCTCACGGTCGAACGGAGAATGGTAGAATCCTTCGTTGCAGGGGTATCGATTGCAAAGGATGAAATGATTAGACTCGTGAACACAGTGAGAGCTGTGCAGAGTCGAGGAGTTATGAGATGCATTTCTTTTGCAGGATACTTTGATCGATGTTTTGTTTGAAAAGTGAAAAGGGGCTAAAAGAGGGATTGATAGATGTACAAGAGCAGTATATTTATATAGACATGTATGTAGCAACGAATGTTACGTGATTTCTAGAAGCAGTGTAACTTTTCTGATGCGGTGCGAAGATAAACCTGGGGTTGCGAACCACGAGGTTCTTGATAAAGGTACACCACGCAATTACACTTACTCTGGTGGCAATTAACCTGTCATATGTCCCCAATCAATCTGCAGACACCTGAGCCTATTTTAAGACAAATACGAAGGGGAAGATGTTCCCATCTGCACGGTGGCGAATAGGTGGATTGTGGCTATTTTGATATACGAGTCTTGAGCCAATCATACACAGCAGTCACAACATGGTAGAAGGCAACTCACCGCCAGAATATAAGACATACAACTCACTCGCCGATGGTACAGCATCGTAATGAGTGAAACCATTCGAACACATGTGCTCTAGCGGATCCCTTCCTCGCTCCTGCCACCCTTTTCGCCCATGACAGGCGAACTACAAGGTAGCGTGATGACGCGTATGTCTATACTAGTCTACAATCTATGGATAGTTCTGAACCTCAGGATTCCTGCAGAGCGAGAAGTCATGATTGAAGCAAGCTGTCCTAGTCCAGCCATGCCTAACTAGGAAAACTAAGGACATAAGCCATCCACAATTGCAATTTAAATACAGTTAGCAAGGCTGCGAGGGGTCACTCGTCAACGCTTTCCTCATCCTCATCTTCCTCTTCACCGGCAGATGTCGTAGCCCGAAGTGCTGGTCGGCTTTCTACTCGACAGGATGCAATGGCCAAGAGGGGATTATTATCTCCCTTCTCGAAGTAGCACCTTGCAAGAGCTCTTTGTAATCGTGCCCAATTTTCTCTCTACAACCGCTAGAAGCATATTCTTCGGAATACATCTACCTGGTGTGCCCCAGAGGGGCTTACCGATCTCGTTCTTGAGAGTAGGTAGCGCTCCCCCCCTGTGTTATGTCGTCCCCATGCTTGCCGCAGGACCTGGATGCAGTAATGGTAGTAAAGATATCTCGCCGCGGGCGGGAAACTCGTCCGGAATTGAAGCAGTTGGCCATCCAGATCTCTCCACGTTTTTGCATGATAGACCGAAACTCCTGTATCGAGCATGTCCCATGGCAAATCAACAAATTCAATTTGTATTCCCTGGTTTCTCACTGTATCCAGGTGAGTATCTGTTCTATGGCTGGTCTATCAGCAAGGTCTGGGACAATGACCAGCTTTCCCGCATTGAAAACACGTTCGATGCCGTTATATAGCAGAAGACCATTCTTGGCCGAGAACAACTCCGCGGGTCGCTTCATCCCAAATATTGCATCCATTACATCTTGGCCATGCATATACGGGGCGGCTATAATGTTTTCTGTAACCGCCGATGAAACAGTTAGCATCAGCACCGCCGTATATTGGTGCTTCATTAACCGGAGGAGAGACGAGAGGTACGCTGAGACCTGGTTTTTGTTTTTAATATGGATCTTCTGGTAAGGTGTGCTTCGCTCAGCAAGACATATCGTATCTAAGTGGATGCCCCGTCTCGCGATATTGCTAAGATAGTTAAGGAGACACAAACAGCTACTAAGATTGAAAATTGGATGTTTGCTCTCCTAGACCTCGGAGACTATGCTCATCGCGCTGCGGGCTGAAGGGCCCGTTCACGACCGTAGGATTGGATACAGCTGGTGTTCTCACAATGGTCTCAAGCCGCTGATTGCCATTCCGTATAGCGTAAGATATCTCGTCGGAATATGCGAAAGCTACTTGCAATCACATCTGGTAGTCTGTTTGAGGATGTTTGAGGATTTCTAGCTCTTTAGTCTTTCCCTATTAAGCCGGACACGGTCCTTTAGACCGGTCTGTCCTTCAAGCCCTGGGCTTTGGGCTTGTTATTTGCCACAGTATCAATGACATCTGGTTGAGGAGTGGTAAGATTGGCGTTACTGTAACAGATCAAGCTTATTTCTCCAGTGTGCAAGCTAGATTTCTTATTTGGCCAGACTCCTGGAAACGATGTTATCCGTAGTTGGACAGAAGTTAGTAATGATGAGAATGAATGTACCATCAGGAATAGATACGATAACCAATGAAACTGAAATAAATCGGATTGGTCCCATTGACCGATATCAGTCGGACTGGGCTCGCTGTAAAGCTACAGTGTGCTGTGAGCTGAGCTCGTATTTATATCGCGCCTTCCTCATTCCTTCTTCACTTTACCACTCTAATGACTCGGATTCACTAAACTACGTTGTGAAGGAGACCACCTTCACTCCATAAGCAACATTGTAGTGTAAGGTCTCTTGATCGTCATTGTGAATAACTACAGGTTGTGAAGCGAGTGAGGTAAAAAGAGATATATAAGCAACAAAGGCCAGAGAGCGTATTAAAAACATATTGCACATTGCATTTCATCGAATTGATAGGACAGTGAACAACTTTGTATGGGAAGCGTTCCCGTGGTGCAAGTTGAAACTTGCAAAATCTCCCCTACAAGAAGAGGTCTGATGATATTTCCACACATGGGCTCTGTTTCCATCCATAGCCGGTTAAGTCACTTTCAGTCGCAAATGAATCTTAGGGGATCTCGCCGAGAGGAAACCGAACCCACGTCGTCTCTGGCACCATCAGGCCAGATGAACCAGCATAAAAGGCAACAAATGCGCAAATCACGGTAAAGGCACCACCGGCTTTGTTGACCTTCACACTTTGCGCAGGATGCTCAGTTGCAATGAAGTTGGCAATGCTCAACAGCAGATATGCAATGATCAGGAAGAAGAAAACGAGAATGATAGACAGGTTGGTTCTCAAGGCTGCGAGAAGGAAGAGTACGGTCAGGAAGCACCACAGTATCAGGTAGATGCCGATGGCAAACGTGTATGCGCGTTCATCCCCGTTATACTGCCCTTTTATATCCAGAGAGGGAATGAGAAACATTGCGTAGCTGAGCCAGAAGGCAGAGTAGGAGCAATGGACGGTGCAGCCAAAGGTGTTTCCGACGCGGAACTCGAAGATGCCAGCAACGAACTGGGCACCACCGCCAAAGAAAATGGCTAGTCCGAAGGCAGCTTGGTTAGGCCCAACTTTGCCTTGAGGGTTGGAATGAGGCAGTCTGAATGCAAGCATCAATGTCAGTGGTGTCAGTGGTAGAATGTATGGCATAGACATATTCACTTACCCTGCGCCGCATTCATAGAGCCCAAGGACGAACGTCGTCAATGCGAAAGCTAAAAGCCCCAAGGGACCAGGATTTGCGAGTTTCTGATATGGTGGCAAAGGCACCTGTGAAACAGTATGGATGTGGGCTTCGTGTTGGGGGAGAGATGCCACGGCGCCATGTTCATTGTGATAGGCAGATTGTCTCTCTTTTTGGAGATGAAATTGTGACGAGCCAGACTCAGCGGTATCCATCACGGTTGGATTCGCTTCTCGTGTGTCGGACATGTTGGTCAAAACGGTGAACAACGATTGAGTATCAAGAGGTAGAGAAAGCTCAGACAGAGAAATCCAGAACTAATCATGAATTCGTAACAAGGGGCCTCTGTGTTTCTGGGGAAGGCATTTTATACCCCAAACCCCAGGGCTGGAACCCCATACTGATCGGCAGCATTCCTTACAACCGAGAGGCCCTCCTCGTCACCGACTTAAACTTAATGTTTAAGCTCTACCAAGGAGAGTAAATTTGAGGTACAACTATAATTCTCATTCAAAGATCATGAACTACACATTTGGCCACCGGGGTATTCTCCACTTCGCTACGGTTCACTAGAGCTTTACCATGTGACTAATCCAGCTAATCAAATCGCCACACTAAATGATTAGGTTCATTAGGATGGAAACTACAAGAATAAATGGCAGGTCAAGGAGATCGGTACCCTAGTAAGGTTTCTATAGTTCGGTGTGCACTACCACCACTCCACCATAGGCTATATCCGAAGATATGTGGGGTATCATACAAGGTGTTGGGGAATGGTACTCCTAGTATACAAGCCGCACTACACGTAATGAGACTTCTGCTAGAGGAATAGATTGACAATAAGCTTCTGAGAAGTTTTCCCGGGTGTAAGGAGCAATTTCTCTGTTGTAGCCTGTGCTGAGCGTTGTTCACAAGTCGATTTGTTTGTTTTCCCAGTTTCGTAGTAAAGTGTGACTTGGATCAACAAGCTAGCAACAATAGCTATTACCAACGGAGACTCATATACGACATACGCCTGTAATGCCGTGTTACCCATTGTCCAAAGAACATTCAACGCGTTGACAGGGAATGCCCAGCTCTCTCAGTCTCAGTACCGGTGTCGAAGTCTCAATGAGTATCGATGAGTTGTCCACAAAGTCAGGTATTCCTAGGCCCGTGAATGCATTGGTAGGGGTGGACACGGCTCAAGTGGGTTATATGGCAACAATAGGACCAAAAAATAAGATACAGGGGTGATGCAGTAGTGATACTACCCAAGAGTAGGGCTTCACGACTTGCCGAGTTTCGACCTTTTTCATTGAATGACGAACGTTGATTGGCTGCATGGTCATACTCAGAAGGGAATGGCGTTGATTCCTCAGGACACCAACTGGATTCCCGAAAAAACACCGAAACAGCTTGAATAATTTTCACAGCTCTAGAACCTCTGGATTAATAAAGTTCTGCAAGCATGTGCTGATGGAATGCTACTTGTACCGTATGATATAGTCCGGCTTGCCTACATGGCAGACCGTCGTGCCATTTTGGCTGCGATATATACTACTCTGGACAAACTCATGAGCGACACGATTCTCTTCACCCAGAAAGCACGACTCATTTCAGCTTTGATGATATTCCTACCTGTTATGTTTCGAAGACCTTAGACAATAAAATATGCCAGAGTATTACCTATGTGTACCGTCCAAAACAGATCGTGGGCCTTTGCGTACTGCAGATCTTTGGTTAGCCGGATTGCCTCGCACTAGCATTCCACAACATGGATTCAACCCTGGTACGCTTCATTAATGATCTATTCCATACTATGACATATCATCTAAATGTGTTATTTCACAGAGTCAGAGGAATCAACATGCAGTCTTTGCTTTGCCACGCTAGAACCCGGGTTTATATTGCGTCATTTACCCTGTCAGCATAGCTTTCATCAGCCGTGTATAGATGAATGGCTGTGCGAGCATGACGCTAGTTGTCCTCTCTGTCGCCGGACCTTTTACTATTTGAGGAAGCCATATCTCATAGAAAAGCCGACTTCATCCAAGCCACAACCTCAGCCTGACATGGACGCTGAGGTTCGCGAAGCACGACAGACCTTTGTGAAGTGGTGGAAAGAATTGTTCACATTAGGCTGGTTCCACCATGATAGAACGTTTACTGAGCGAAAGCATCACTTTCATCACCAGACGCAGCATCCGGGTTGAAAGATGCCTCGTGTTTCGTACCAGAAATGTGGAAACTCTAGGGCATAACGCTTGTCCACCATTAAAGCTTAGGGGATTCCCTAGGGTGTGTTTTGGCACCTAAATAATCCGACCTTTCGATCTGCCTCCTGGGGAAGACATATATGCTTCGACGGGGGCCTATGAAATGCCAATTTCCAGTCACAATGGCGGCTATGTCGTGGACGGCTGCGCTGGAAGGCATTCGGCATTTCTCTGGACAACGCAATGATTATCACTGATAGGCACGATTTCATGCTTGTCGGTTTACTGAGCTCCACGGCCTCACGAGCCAATTTCCCACAGAGCAAATGTTTGGCAACTTGGTGCCTCTGTTCATTCGACATACAACACCCGAGAACCCCTTTCATTGGTTCGTCAATATTCGATGCTAGTGGCCCACTAGCGCACCGATCAGACTTCGCTCGAGGTACACCGGATAGGTCGGCTTTACGGTCGGCTAGCAGTTAGGTCAATTCTGGATGTGTTATGCTGTGCCCCCTTGCCTGCGTTGTGCGCATTGTATACCGTCCAGCAACCGCATCAAGTCAATGCCGATACCCTAACTGCCGGGTGACAGGGATGTACCTTTTCCTCAGATTCGCCGCTACTGCGGGCTGTTCTCGGGGCACTCCCCCTCCTCGACTCGAGGTACAGGCATCAATGCCGATCTCGGGACGTTCCCCGACTTCACGGTAACCCAATTGATGGTTAGTATAGACGACAAGCTTGGCGCCAAGAAACGTGCATCGTCGTGAATTGCGGGGTGTCCAGCATGATGACGGGGTTCAGATCCATTCTCGCGCAAGGACTTGTTGTAAATCCCGAAGTATACCCGTTCTAGTGAGCACGACGGGTTTTACTTCGTGCCGTGTCGGGTCTCCTCCGATATGACCTAAACGACACTATGTTACTCATAATCGCAAGCTTTGGCAATGGAAGGGTTTAAATAGACGTAGCTACCTACAGATCAGAAGTGATGAAGACTCGGAATAGTACAAGTGGCTCATCCTCATGAAGGTCCTATCACCTTTAGCTTCGATAGCGCTGGCGCAGGGCACGCTCTGTGCAGGCCAAGGCTATACCAATGAATCGGAGGTTCCTTACTATGGCCGGAGTCCTGCCGTATACCCCTCTCGTAAGTTTGAGTAGATCCCAAGCAATCTATTCCCCGGTCTAACCTAAAACTGGAGTAATTGAACTGACAAAGACAACCAGCGGTCGGCGACGGGGCGACAAGCTCGGTCTGGGAGAGCGCCTATCAGCGCGCGAAAGCCCTTGTCTCGCAACTAACCGTCGAGGAGAAATCTAACCTCACCCGTGGGTTTGACGGGCAGTGTGTTGGAAACACGGGTGCAATTCCTCGGCTTTCCATCCCTTCACTTTGCTTCTCTGACGCACCGGACGGCATTCGAGGGCAGGAATTTGTCTCTGCTTTTCCGGCGGGCATTCACGTGGCGGCAACATGGGATCGCTCTCTGATGTACCGCTATGGCCAAGCACTGGGCCAGGAGTACCACGGAAAGGGCATCAATGTCGCCTTAGGTCCCGTCGCGGGACCTTTGGGAAGGCTGGCCAGAGGCGGACGCAATTGGGAGGGACTCGGCGCGGATCCTTATCTTGCAGGCGGAGGGATGGGACAGATCACTAAAGGTATCCAGGACGCCGGAGTGATTGCTTCGGCGAAGCATTGGCTGTTGAACGAAGAGGAATGGAGAAGAAACCCCGGCGATATGGGGGAATCACTAAGCTCGAATGCTGACGACCGGACCATTCATGAGCTATATGTTTTCCCTTTCATGGATTCTTTGAGAGAAGGTGTCGGAAGTGTGATGTGCTCTTATCAGCGTTTAAACCACAGCTACGGGTGTCAGAACTCGAAACTGCTCAACGGTATCTTGAAAACCGAACTCGGCTTCGAAGGGTTCGTGGTGAGCGACTGGGCAGCGCAACATTCTGGCGTTGCTTCGGCCAATGCTGGTCTAGATGTTGTTATGCCAGACGGTGGCTTCTGGGGCCGCAATCTGACAGATGCTGTCGCAAATGGCAGTGTCACCAGTGAAAGACTGGACGATATGGCAACGCGAGTCCTGGCAACCTGGTTTTACAGTGGCCAGGACGAGGACTATCCCTCCCCCGGAGTTTACTCGGAATCGGAGAAGCACGACCCTATTGACGTTCAAGAGGACCATGCGACATTGATCGGAGAAATTGGTTCCGCTGGCACTGTTTTGGTTAAAAATGTTAACAACACACTGCCATTTACGAATGCAACCAGATTCCTTAGTATCTATGGCTACGACGCAACGGTTAGCGCAGCCCCATGGGCCAATCCCTCGCGCTATGGTGGCGGTTACGAAGTCAACTTCGGTTGGAGCACCTTCAACGGCACTCTCATCACCGGTGGAGGCTCTGGGGGAAGCACTCCTCCATACGTGGTGAGTCCCTTCCAAGCTCTACAGGAGCGTATCTCGAGGAACAAAGGAACTCTTCGCTGGGATTTCTACTCAGAGAACCCCTCCCCTGCATACGTGAATAGTGACGCTTGTCTCGTGTTCATCAACGCGTATGCGTCTGAGGCCTTCGACCGAACCAGCTTGACAGACGAGTTCAGTGACAATCTGGTGCGCAACGTTGCTTCCAATTGTACCAACACGATCGTGGTCATTCATTCAGCCGGTAAGTAGTCAAGCTTCACTCAGGGTAATATAATCCGCTAACAATCATCCCATAAACCAGGCATCCGCACGGCCGATGCATGGATCAATCACCCCAACGTGACCGCAGTTCTCTTTGCAGGTCTCCCCGGTCAAGAAAGTGGTCACTCCCTCGTTGATATCCTGTACGGCGATGTTAGCCCATCCGGAAGACTTCCTTTCACCGTCGCCAAGAACGAATCCGACTACGGAGAGTTGCTAAACTCGACTGTCTCGTTCGACGCGTTCCCCGAAGTGAACTTCACCGAGGGCTTATACATCGATTACCGTGCTTTCGATCGTGACGGCATTGAGCCGCAGTTCGAATTCGGCTTTGGTCTGTCGTACACCACCTTCGAGTACTCTGACCTTGCGATTACGTCTACAGGAAATAGTACTTCCCCTCTGGTGGACACCAACACTCCTATCGTCCAGGGCGGACATCCACAGCTGTGGGATGTATTGTTCGAAGTCACCTGCTCTATCACCAACACGGGTGACATATCCGCATCAGAGGTCGCCCAGCTCTATGTTGGTATTCCAGACGCTCCCGTACGACAGCTGCGCGGCTTCGAAAGAGTACCACTGGAACCGGGTGAGACGAAGCAAATATCGTTCCCATTGATCAGGAGGGATCTCAGTATTTGGGACGTTGTGGCCCAGCAATGGAGGCTTCAACCCGCAGAATACACAGCCTCTGTTGGCGCTAGCAGCAGGATCCTGCACTTGAATGGGACTATTCAGATTGCTTAGTTCGGTAGGATGCTGTCATGAATAGACTTGGCCAATGTGAGTTTGAAACACTTAAATACAAACAGCTTAGTCGAGTTGGACTCAAGATGGTTGGCCACACTAGGCCATGATAGAAATTGAAAGTCGTATCACCCCAGCTAGCTGAATGTTGGTAATATTTACTCTGTCTATACAATGGGCAAAGTAGGAAAGCAGCACATAGATCTAGAACGCACATACCAATCATTGATTCAAAGCTTCCATCATCAATTCATAGCAGTCAGAACAAGTGGCGACCACTTCAACAGAAGTGAAACAGCAGGGTCACAAACCTACTTCCGCCTTGTCTATATCAACCACAGAACAAATGTTCTCTAGCTGTCATGCCACTCTGGCCGACTATTCTTGCAGAGCTCGAAAGAACCTCCTAAACTGCGTATCCCGTTGCAACAGAGTGGTAGGATTATCATATTCAACAAGTTCTCCCTGCTGTATGACCGCCACACGGTCAAACCGATCAACGAAGCGCAAGCGATAAATGAAGGCTATGCGATGGTGTCAGCAATAGAGACAGAGAGACCGAGATTAAGCTGCAGGTTACATCGAAACGGATTTCGACTAAACTAGGACTTGACTGGATGCTTTATCGTCAGCCAATCAATGCCTCAGGAAGCACCCGATAATTGATTATACTACTGGTACTATCACTGAGCATAGGCTAATATGCGACATAACGCTAATCAGTGGTGTTCTAGTCAACACAGGATCATCATCCTGACCGATGTCTTCTGCCCGACACGGTATACCGCCACCGGGTGGGAAGACCAATGGTTAGATAGGCCAGGTAGACAGAATGCTTAACTTAGAAGCAAGCACGCACACATACTTGGTTTCCGAAACTCAAGCATGCATTATCTGATCTGGATTGAGCATGACGCCATCAAAAAGACCCACCCCATCGTTTCATGCCTGCTGCTTTAGCCAGCTGGGTGGCGTTGTTGCCTACGAGCAGAGCCGCTTCAGATCAAGACTATCCATCTCTAGGCATCAGTCAGAAACATTGAGGCCGCGTTTGAGGTCTAGCGTCAAGTATCTTTGTCCTCTATTCCTTTGTTTCCTGGGCAATATGAATACGGCCTCAGCCCTACCTGATTAGTAGCATCGAGACCTCAGTTTGCATCGATTCTGACACCTTCAGTCAGAAAAAAATAGAACAAGGTGGTTTTCTTGAAAAACACCACATGATGCGGCAAGAGTGCGCAAAGATAACACACAACGTCAAGGGAGCTTCGTGGGGATCTTTTTCCCCCTAGGTAGAATAGCGGAGGATTACTAGATCTCCTGAATAGTCCAGGCTCTGCTAGATGGTAATGGTCTAGACTTTCACCTGGCCCCTGTAACGTGCTCGCCCCTGGGAAAGCGAAAGCTTGTCGCTGCCGGAAACCGTCCCGAGCTAACCTATGTTAAGACGTTCCTCGAAAGCATGTTTACTCCTAAAACTTTCCCTCAGTTCACTAGAAGTTCAACTGGAAGTCTTCAAGCACACAGCTGGCACCAGGATGTTAGATAAGTGAGGCAATGCCAAGAGACGCTCCGGAAAATTGTGCGCGTCATTATATCAGACGTGTATCGAGCGTCCCACATACACTGAGGTGGGCTGAAACCTCGAATTTACAAGGGACTGTAGGATGAATGCCTAGCACCTAGGTCCTTGACCAGAAACCTGAGAGAGAATTCTTCCACAACTCAGAAGCGTTAGTTTACAGGACAAGTTTCTCCGGTTTTAACGCATCGGTTGTCGAGGTCTTGGCAGGACGTCCCCCGCATTGCCCGATGATTTTCTTCACGACGGCGCTCCACATCTCCGGAATATTCGCTATCCTCCTCGCTATCAAACAGGGATCTTTCCGGTGGGGGAAGCCTCGGCATGCGAGATGCAATCAGCGGCCTGTTGTAGTAGGCCAGGCCTGGTGAGCGTTTGACACGGCCATGGTATGCTCAACGGTGCATAAATACCGTGTCTGGCGTAGGAGTGGGCAATCACTAGAACTGACAAGTTTGTGTCAAACTGACACAATCTCTTTGCAAGTCCAATGTTGTTCAGATTATTGCAGGCCCTTTTGGGGCTATGGGCTATTTTCCCCCTAGCCTCCGCATACACGAACCCAGTTCGCAATCCCGGGGGCAGTGACCCCTTCGTGGTCTATACCGGAGGCTACTACTATCTTCTCACAACAACTTGGAATGACGTGCAAGTCAGCCGGGCAACTACCATCGAAGGCCTCAAGACGGGCGAGAAGAAGGTAGCTTACACGACCACCGAGGAGACTCACTGCTGCAATGTGTGGGCCCCCGAAGTTCACTACCTGGGTGATAAGTGGTACATTTACTACACTGCCGGCAATAGCGTGGATCTGGATGGGCAGAATATGCATGTGTTGGAAGGTAAGCTGTTATCCTCGTACCCTCGGCGCATTGCTTTACAGGGCTAACGGTCTTTAGGTGGTGCGACTCCCTGGGATGATTACACCTACGCGGGCCAACTGACCACGGCATGGGGAATTGACGGGACCATCGTCCGGTTCAACGACTATGGCAACTTTATGGTGTGGTCGTGCTTCCACGGCGTCACGTATCAATCCCTGTGTATCCAGCAGCTGGGATCGGATTACACCTCGTTGACGGGCGACATCTCGGTGATCTCTGAGCCTGTTGAAGACTTTGAAACGCACGGTACACCGGTCAATGAAGGTCCCGCGGCCCTCTATCTCGACGGCAAGACGCATATCGGGTACTCGGCGTCTTACTGCTGGACGTCTTACTATTGCGTGGGACTCCTGACGTGGGACGGCGCCACCGACCCGACAGACAAGAACGCCTGGAGCAAGCACGACGGCTGCCTTTTGTCATCGGCCAACGGAAACTACGGAACGGGTCATAACTCGTTCTTCCAAAGCCCTGACGCTTCGCAGACGTGGATCGCCTATCATGCTACTACCATTGAAAGCGGCGCATGTAATGATAGCGTTATGCGATGGTGCAGGAGATCAGCTCGGGGAGCAATGGCATCCCAAATCTTGGAGAAGCGTTGGCCTGGACAGTGGAACTCAGCGAGCCAAGCTCCTAAGAGTCTGCAGGACGTAGCGTCACGGGAATGGACATTGCACTATAGCGCAGGTTCTCGGATAGACGAGAAGTCGGCATGAAATGCGATAAATCTATGTACATACACACCTCGACCCTGGTGGTTTGGTGGGCAGGGATCATGTAAGCAGAGAAATCAAGACATACAGCAAGATCATTGACCTTGTTGTCCTCAGCCTTTGATTAATTTCCAATAGTTGAAATGACAATTATCGATGTAGCGGTATACACTAAAGGTCCATCGGCTGAAGTGGTAGAGTGATAAACATCATTTGTTCATCGCAAAGACCATGGTTACCCAGCCGGCTATGGTCACAGGGACTGGCTTACACCATCGGCCTGTAGGCTTCGAAATAGGAGGCGGCAGAACTCTCAGGTCAGGCGATGGAACGCGCCACTAGGGTAGGGGGTTGGAGAGACCAGGAGCATTCGTGTTGAGCATGTATGGTACGCATCTCCGGTTGACTACAGCGCACCTTTCAGCTGCGTATTTAGTGTACGTCAACAGCCCGATAATTGCCGGAAACTGAGAGGATGTGAGTCAGGCGTTCCGAAGCGTTTGACCTAGAAACTCAGTCAAGCAGGGCCCTCGCCTTGCAACTCTATCGGTGGTTTTGAATGCTTCCGAAGCGGCAACGCTGAGATAGGATTGCTGCAGACACTTTTTCAAGGATTAGCTCAAGCTATTATTTGTCTCACTTTTTAGTACCAAGCAGCCTGAGTAGGCCAATAATCACTCTTAAGGCCTCCTTCCGTCGGTCACGTTGACGAAGATCGTAGGATTCGGAATGATACACTCGAAGTTCCTCGCTTGGCAGCCTCCCCAGAATCAAGTCAGTCAAGTAGGCTGAAGATGTAGTTGTCGTGCTAAACTGCAACACAGTTCTATCTATACGTAAAACCAAAGACCTATGGCTTGGATCTTGGCTATTCTGTTCATAGGCAAGAAAGCCCTGTAAAAGCATTTGCGAAATATCCTGGGCCATGTTCCAACTGTTGTCCGCCACAACCTTTCGTTCAAATCAGTTTCTACGGACAGGCAAGGCGATATCATGGGACCTTACAGAGAACGTGGCCGGAGACGATATATCCACCAGGGCACCTTCACATCTGAGCGAACCTTGTATCCCATAAGGACGGATTTCAAATGGAATTCTTGGGCGTAAAACAAGCTGCCTGTGTTGTGTTAGTCCGTTCGGGCACCAACCGAACAAGTCATACTGAGAAATGTTCAACGGCATCCACGTGGGAAATTATGCTCTCCAAGAGGCATGTTAAGGCTTGTCGAGAAGCCTCTGAGCCGTCTTTGGCCTGTGCTGCTTGCTGAAGTCGCACAAAAACTAGATGGAACGGACTTCGTCGGTAAAGGGAACGCTTGGGGCCGAAATCCGCTAGATCTTGCTCGGATGGCCCTGTAAGCTCGGTAGCAAGGTAGTCGAATTCTAATGGAGGTGTTACTGTGAATCGGGCAACAAGGAACACAAATAGGATCAATCAACCTTCATCTCCATCGGCAGGCAAGTACTCCATGCCAAGAATGCAATCAGCGGGAATTTCGTAACTTTGAGATAAATTGAGCGCTCGAAAACTGCGCCGAGGTCCATTTCCGTGGGGATATAAGGAGGGTTTTCAGGGACTCCATGGCTGCGCTACAGACTGTCCGAGCAAGGAAGCGCAAAGAGCAGAGAGTGGATTGAGTAGAAGAGTGTTTGTTGCAAAGGAGGACGTGTGGCTGAGCACTGACCGCCTGGGAAAGTGGTGGGGATCAAAAATAATGACCGACGCAGGGATCGAACCTGCAATCTCTTGATTCGTAGTCAAGCGCCTTGCCATTGGGCCAGCCGGCCAGCTGTTGTACAAAGCTACTGGTATTTGACAATATAAGCAAAAGAGTGAGCGCTAGCTCTTGCTGACCAGTATTCATCAGCTGTTTCGTCTCTTGTCCAGGTCAAACCCTTCAAACGCTTGAAATGGAACGGGATGTTTGCTATGAGTATATCAACTCGATTTGAAGACGAATTTATGCGGTTTAAATCACTTTTCATGTTGTTGAGTTCCTTTGTTGTTGTTTCCACATCTGGGATATATATTCCTGATACCATCCACTGCCAGGGTAACATTCCACATGTAGTAACACTACAGTGTAATTGATTCACACCAAATCTAGTTAGAGGTTGTGATCGATCGAAAGGTCAACGATTTCATTATTATTTCGTCATGGCTCTACTATTCAAATCATACCTCCATATCGATAACTTTTACATGCCAATACTCCGCCTCCCAGTACAAAACCGAACCCCGCAAGTCTCGATAGACATGATATCCAACAGTATGTTTTCCAGAATGTATCGACTCGAATTGGTAATCCCAACAGACTATGCCAGCCTGAGTCTCTACCAGGTCCCCTTGTCATGAGGATAGTCATATCGACTATCACCCTTTTTCGTGTTCCAATCCATGTACTCGACCAATTTGTTATCCACGATCTGGCGCAGATCAAGATTCTTTCCATGGGCCTGATCTTGATCGATGGTAAGTGCATTGATCGTTAGATACCCAGTCACATCCTCCTGGAATATCTCAGGATCCATTCGCCAGACTGTGACCGTCTTCGTCGATTCTTCTATACCCGGCAGATCGGGCTTGCCATCACGAGTGGGAATGGCCGCCGAAATGCTTTCGACATCGATCTGGTCCTGCTTCCAGTGAGGTACGGTCGCGAAACATCGCACGCCGCACGTCGGACAAAAGAACCAATTTATATGACCATTGGGGCATTTATAATTAGCCAGCGTATCGTGATCCAGCGGGGAGAGTAAAAAGAATTGGTTGGGCGCGTCCGGAAGTCGCAGGTGGAACATTCCCATTTTGTGACACGTCGTGCAACTGCACTTGTAGAATCGGAGGTGGGCACCTTTGGCCCCATCGGGGACAACTGCTGGTGGCATCGGAATGAAGGTTATGTATCTGATAAACCCGCAGTGGCAGGAGCCATGATAGGGGAGGCTGGAGTGTTGTTCGGCGGAGGTCGTCATTTTGGAGCAGGGTATTGCAGCAGCTGTCGTTCGAGTCAAGACTTGCGACTGATGGTTTTCCAAAACTGCGACAATAAATAGAAGAATTCACGGTAAGCGCTAACTCAATTCGTGAGTCATTTGTCGTATGTTTATTATTGCCTTCTCTCCGCAGGACTGACGTGGATCCATACTTATGCGGGCTGCTGCAGCGATCGTCAGTTTTGGACATCAGATTGGCGCTCGGAGGCTGATGCTTTCTGCCCTGGAAAAGAATTGGCTCCACTTTACGGTTACATCGGCCATGGGGGCTGAAACTAGCTCTTTGTTCTGTCCAAAAGACACTTTGCTTTAATACGTCAACTGTGGTCAAGGGCCTATATACGGAATGAGCGTGCACGGACGCTCTACTCGAACATCCGATCCAGCAAAGCCACTGGTTTTCCTCTTCTCCGAGCATACTCCATTTCTTCATATTCATCAATCTCTCGTTTGATACCCCCTAACTGGAGGTCCGCCTTGCCGATCCCCACGTACCGCGTACGCCGGAATATCTTCCAGAACACGAAAGTAAGGGCATAGAATCCGATCATAACATAATTGAGAAAGAACGATTCTAGGTCCCAACCACCGGAAAGAAAGACGTTATAACCCAAGACTAGGACCATCACTCCCGTCCCGCCCAGAGCGTACCACGCCGTGTACGGTTGGAAGCGACCCCGATAAGGGAGGGTTTCGCGTGATACTCCCTGATGGCGCAGTGACGCATGGAAATGTAGGTAGGTGATGCATGTTCCGAAGTAGTTGAGGAGATAGCAGCCTGCAATGCAACTGACTAGCCAGTCGAGTACAGTGGCCGAGCTGTTGCTGACCTGGAGGAAGCCCAGGAGGGAGAATGCCATGGCGATGGCCACTGCGTTGTATGGCAATCCGGCTCGGTTCGTTTTGGAGACCCATTTTGGCGCCTTTTTCTCTAAGGACATGCCGTATAGGGTCCGCGACGCGGAAAATACGACGTTGTTTCCTGCGGACAGGACCGAGGTCATGATCAGCACATTAACAATGTCCGGGAGGACCTTGATTCCAAAATGGTTCATAGAGATGACATAGGGAGACCTGAAATATGGTTAGCGAACTTGGATTCTAGGGTTCAACGTCCTGAATCCTACTGACGCGGCACCGGTGCCACTGCCCTGTTTAGTCCCGTCCAGCATGGCAGCCAACGTGGGGTCGTCGTAAGGAATCACGATTCCTACACAGAGCGCTCCCAGACAGAAGAAAAACATAAGACGCCAACCAAACGATGCGAATGCTTTCCGCATGACTCTTCGGGGTCGCTCAGATTCACCAGCCGCCATGGATATAAATTCCGGCCCGACCATTCTATCCGTCCGATATAGCTATTAGCACGCTCCTTGTAAGACTGTAGATGGGCATGATAAACGATAGGTTGGTGAAGGATCCACTTACGTGAATGCGCCCTGGATCATGCAACTCAGCACCCCAAGAAAGCGGCCAGTGTCGCCGGGCACCAGATGTGAAACGAATGCTCCCTATACGTCGTCGAACAAAGTGTATTGATTAGCTGAGCGCTTGTTATGAGCAACCAAATTGGAAAGTGTGCACGAACTGGGTTGTTCCAGTATCGGAATCCAATGGCATCACGGTGGGGATTGCCGCCCACCATGGTGACGAACGTGTAGAGAATCAAGCCCAGCATCAGGAATATCTTGAAGAACGATAGGTAGAACTCAGCAATGCCGAAGTAACGAACTGTAAGGACGTTTACTACCCTAAACGGAGTCAATCGTATGATCCTGGGCCCAAGCAGCTGGCGAGGTCCTTACCCATAGAGGACCATGACTATGACGACAACCGCTGCAACGGGCACTTTGTCGGTCCAGTAGGTAAGCAAAACATTGATGGCGACAATCTCATAAGGAATGTTTAGCGCTGTATATGGTGTTCGGACACACTCGAGGTGAGTATACTTGGTGACGGGATGTAAGACACGGAAACTAACCCATGGCCAAGAAGAAATTCCAGCTCATCGCGAAGCTTAAGGCATCATCTACCCAATGCCCGGCTAATCGCACGAAGGGTGACGGAATGGGCATGTAGCAAACCATCTCCGCTGGGTGTGCCCCTTAGCATTAGCCCGGTGTCATACTATATCGCCAACACGGATACAGTGATCGTCATTGTTGGAATGGATCTCGAGAACCAGGCCTACCAAAACATTCATTTACGGCCAGAACGATGGTACCGTACGCAATGAATCCGATAAACAAGCCGGCCGGGCCACCTTTGGGCAAGGCCGCGCCCATTTGTACAAAAAGCGCTGCGGCGAATCATTAAATTGCGGCGATTGTGAACAGGTTGAGGACCAACATACATGTACCGATAGCTCCTCCGACCGCAAAGAGCTGAACCTCTCTCCCACGGAGTTTCCTGTGAAGCTTCTGGGACCCTGGAGAGAGCACCTCGGTCTCACCCACACCATTCTGATCATCACCACTGAGCGGATCGGATTGTACTTCCTTACGAATGTCGGCAGGTGCAGTCGATGCCATGATGATACTTCCCAGGTAACTGTAGTTGCTCGGAGGAAATCAGCATGGCGAGGTCTGGTCTCCCAATTCATTTTGATCGCAACACACGTGTATTGGCCTCAGTTAGCGTTTCAGAGATCTTCATCTTACGATGGCGCCGAAGTGATCAGCGCTCTAAGAGGGGTAATATGCACCTCACCACGTCACACCGTCGATTATCTGCAGTAATACGATTCTCCTATGCACCACACTAGCCTCTCATGTTGTTAGGATGATAAGTAGTCCCCGCTTAGTGGCGCAGGAGTACAGGGGATCGCCTTGTCACACCCAGCCAAGAATCGCGTAGATACTTTGAGATGCAGTTACCGGGGCCTGTGTGACGCCGACTCAAGCGTGCGAAGGAAATAACTTATGTTAGCCCGTGGATAGTTGAATGCAGTGCGTTGGTGCCTACCAAGGTTGCGGGCGCATTTGATACACAGAGTTGTGAGAATGCTTCCTCGAATATGCGGTATACTCTAACATCTGACGAATAGAGTGTCTAAAAAGGGGTAATGGAGTATTTACTAGGGTCATATTGTAATCTTAGGTCACGTAATGGAGGATCGATCCAGAAGCACCGAGGTCGGCGAAGATTCAACTTCACTCATGTACTCATTAACTTAATTCTCATAGACCATTACTGCGCTTTTGTACAAAGAAAGTATGCAATGCCAGACATGCCCCACCCTTCTCCTTCTCGATCTTTCCCTAGAACCTCTGGGTTTTGTTTCATCGATGGAAAATCATCTGGTCTTTTTCTCTTCTACTGCATCTCCGCTGTCACTGCCGCCAGAACCATCAACCAACACAGCGTCCGCATCCGAGTCGTACTGTGCCCGAACGCGCTCGCGGCCTCGCTCCTTCATCGAGTCGCGAATTCTCCGATTGACTTCTCCGAGATCATCCTTCGATCCGATCGTTAGTGGTTTGAGCAGGGTGTCCTGGAGGAAGCCGGCACTTCGGGATCGGCTGCGGCTGCCTCGGGTTTTACTGGTGTTTCGGCTCTCGGGCTCACTGGGCGGCATGCTCTTCAGCCGAGATTGGTACGTGTCATCATGAGGATAGCCATGGGGAACGAGTTTCTCATGTTCAAAGTCCGGGAAGATCTCCGGTGCAAAGGCATCGATTGTGTCGACCACCTTGGTGGACAAAGCTTGGCGCTCCTCCCGCAGCTTGGCCAAAGAGTTTGCCGAGATGGGGTTCAGGGCAACGAGAAGGGGCGGGAGAGATTTGAGCACGTCCATGCCAATCTCGCCGATTCGCAAACCAGCGAAGGAGACGGAAATCATCAGACCGAAGAAAAACATAGAAAAGAGCCACAAGGGAATGCTATCGGGAATGTAGGTTCTGGGGTTCGTCCACCAGGGTGAGACAGCGCAGTAATGCCCACCGTTGCGACAGTAATGTAGCCATGTCGTCACAACCACCGTATACCAGGTATACAAGGCAGGCGCCAGGCCCATTGCGACGAGAATCTTCCAGGTCCCGACCACATCACGGCCTTCGAGCTTGACCACGGAACCAGCAAGAGCTTTGCGCTGCTTTTTCACCGAAATAACCTTGGTAGTCACAAAGACCGGCCAAAAGAGAGCGACAGACGGTAGCGTTCCTGCGGCTAGAGTGAGGAGCTCACCCACGCGATACAACAGCGTGCCCAAGACCATCCACCACGGTCGGTGCTTGACGTCGCCCCATTCGACCTGGTGGTCCCGAATACCCAAGGCTCGAAGACGTCGATTGTAGTCCGATATAGCCTTCTTAAGTTGGAGGACCTTCGGCTCGTCCTTGAACTGAGTGTAACCCTTGAGCAGCCGTCGGTTGACTTCAATCACAATCGGCAAGGGCAGCTTCATCCGGAGAGGTCGGTAGAGTCGTCTCGTGGCTTGGACAAGCATGAGCGTCTCGTGGTCGGGCGCTTGTTGAGTCACTGCAGTCAGTGCTTCGTTAATCGTTTCCAGCAATGATCCCACCGCGTTCCGCTTCGAAGTCCCACCGGCCTTGAACGCTTCGACTTGGTCCGGATGTACGTGAACGGGGTTGCCAAACTCCACGACAGCGCGAGAACGGAACTTGTTCGGGTGAAAGTAATTCATGCCACAGGGAATGATAGACAGGCCGCAGTTGGGATCTTGAGCCAGAGCGCCCAATGCGATAATGGCGACACCGGCCTTCAAGGGAAGCAAGCTGGGACGATCATGGCTGCCGCCTTCCGGAAAGATTCCGATACAGCCGCCTGCAATGAGTTCACTATAAACGGCGTCGAACATTTGGCGCTGGTCGATATGCGGGGCGACTTTAAAAGTGGTGCCATTGCGCAGCGCGTCGTACAGAGGGTGATCTTCCTTGAATTGCTTGAATGGCTTTCGCAGTCTTAATTCTTCCGGTCCGAGAATCTGCGCAATTGTTTGCTGCTCCGGGCTGGTCTTTCCCACCCGCGGGAGAATAATCGTGCCGCCTTCCATGAAGAGCTTGTTCGTAAAATCGGTTCCTTCCCCACGAACCAGGGTCGGGTCGTTATCGGGATCCGGCAAATAGATCTTACCCGGGGCCGATTTGACATTATCCTGGGCTCGCACAACCGGAAGGGCTCCCATGCACCCAGCCATTGTGCCGATATATGGCTCCCTCATGGACTTCTCGGCAATGAGGAACGAGCTTCGACGGTTGGCGGCGTGCTTCAAAATGCGCATTAACAGGATAGAGTCAACAAATTGGTTCGCATGTGGAGCAGCCACGATGATCACCGGCCCGCGTCGCGGGATTCGCCAAGCTCCTCGGGAGTAAACCTCCCGGAAGAAAATGTCTAGACATAGGGTGAAGATCCAGATGCCCAGGTCATAGAGCCATGGGATCATGTATCTGCGCGCCATGATCGCGATTACGTTTGGGCCCGCCCGCTGGAATGGCAAGCGATCGGTGGCCTAAACAGTTGTGGAAGGCAACCTAACTCTTGACGGTAACCATATACCGGCAGAGTCCGAGTAGCCAATCGCCACAGAGAGGTTCTGTATGCGAGGGGATGTACGGATGGACGAGTGACGCGGCGGGTGTTTGGTGGGAAATGATAAGAATCCCTCTTTCGGGGAGTCGCGCAACCGAAATTCTCCGCAAAAGCTTAGCGGCTTTTTTCCATCGCTGACTCAGCCGCGTGAGCTCATCATGCAAACCAGACAAACACTCTGTCGATCTCCATCGAACTTGAACTCTCAGAACTTCCAAAGTCTGGCAGCAAGTGCTATCAATCTTAGTCACGTCGAGAGGTTATCTGACTGCAACGAGCCCTGGAGAGACTGGTGAATCCTTGGTCCTCGCTGGCCGCGTTGTGTCTTGTCATCAGCATAAACCATGGAGTCTCATTCAGAGTCGTGGTTGATTGGAAAAGATCTCATCGTCATCTTGAACTGGTGCCTCTCGAAGGTTGTTGATTTCATCCTTCTTCTTAGAACTGTGTAGCGTGGTTACTCGGTGTCTTGCAGGGCTACGTAGTCTGGATTTTCGTCCTACACTGTTCTGTTAATAACATGGGGATCCCAGCATGGAAGGAGAGTTCGCAATGACGTGAGACCACCGAGCAAATAATACTCAGATAGAGGCGTATATCAGTGTTAATTACAAAGCCCTCATTGTGGTGCTGAAAAGCAAGCCAACAGATCTATGACTGCCCCGTTCTCTGGGGTTAGACATGACACGTACGTCAGGCCCCCCAGGAACACGAGCTGCCGGCATATACCTAAATTTTGATCGTCTAACTGATGTGGATCTGTGGTACGTACCAAACGCAGAAGTCGATCTGATCTGCCAATGACGTAGGAAAAAGCCACCATAATGCCACTGTCCCACTGTAACCTATGCTCCCTGCTCGAAGTATTATGTGATACCATATCAGGCTGCACAAGCTTGCGGACTAATGTAACCTTGGCACTACAGCTTGAGATAAATCATAAAAGCAAAAAAGTTCAACAGTATCGGTTTCTTGTAGACATTGTAATACGCGCAGATCCCGATCGAATGTTGATGGGAGCCATGTTTAATGAGACATCCAAGTTGGAGGACAATTGTGCATGACAATTTGATTAACACGATCCAACAGTGTACGGTTAGCGTAAATGTACCTCGGGTATCCTATATAGTGGGCTCCTACTCTACCCCTTACATGATCTACACGTCCAAGCGTTACCTTATTATGATTTCATTGGTGAACACTTATTCTTGACGTAGCTTGCGGTTCTACTTTGGAACCTTGAACTTGTGTCTCCATGATACCTTAATTAGATATTAGGTGATTCTAAATCAGAGGGAGGGTGCTAGACATTTGAATGACGACGGAATCTTGAGCCGCGCTCGAATCACATATGCTGGAATCGAGGTATAACTTTATGCAGTGCGACCAATTATACAGCCTCTGTACACGTAACATGACGTTCAACAAGTATGGATAGAAACTTCATGAAAGACGCCACTGTTTCTGTGACTTGTCTAAACCAGAATGTGGTGCCAAAGATAGCGCATTTCGGGCCGTCTAAGCATCGGTAGCCTCTCGTATCTGCTGGCAGGATTCAATCCCAAGTGTCAGCTTTTAGTATGCCGCTGAGTCTCCGCAGTTACATCCAGGCCCATGCCGAGTCGCAGAATGCTAGGAACATGTCTGAGACATGTTCCACCCGAGTCCACCGAACAAGCAAAGATGTGTGATGATTGGATGCCGCTGATGTGGACTGGAATAGACGACAAGAGACTCATGTGTCAGACTTAGACAACGTTTTTGGGATTCGAAGAGGTATGCCTCAACCTCAGCAAAGGTGCAGCAGAGCACATCAACGACTATAAATACATTGGTTGGGCCCGCCCATCGAAATATAGTAGCCCGACTCTCTACCATCAATCTTTTCTCAATTCAGTACGATAACAGATCATCCTGCACGATGCAACTTCTCTCAGCCTTTATCACTGCTCTCGCCCTGAGCACCGGGGTCCTTGCCCAAGGCTGGCATGGATGTGCTCCGGGCTACGGTGTGAGTTACCCTTCTACAGCTTTTATTTGATACGCGACAACTACTGACCTTGTGATTCAGTGTCATAGCAACGAGGAATGCCGTCAGCAGCCAGACTGCCAGCAGCTGGCGAACGGTGTAAGTAGTAATAAGAACTATGTATCGAGACATGGAAGGCATGAACTGACCAATTGTATTTATAAGAAACTTGACAAGATTTATTGCGGTCAAGCAAACCATCCTATCGCTTGTTGGGCGGTAAGAATCTGCTTTCAGTACAGATACTTAACTCACGAGGCTGACATGTTGACCGATCGATAGTATACGAGCTAATGGCGAGGGTTGCAATTCGGACACATTCATGTTCAGTGATCAGGACATGGAGCAATGCGAACATCTGGGTGGCTGATGTTTCGAAGAAAGGCGAAGAAAAGGAATCGATGTATCTTATGCTTTGTGGTTGTCTGGCCTCTTCACTGTGACTTTTTGGTTTCAACGACAAGATGAATTTTTCATGGGTAGTTGCGATGTCATATGCGTAGCCTGTCAAAATATGATACTTCGCTACAGGAACGTACATTGGCTTGACCGCACAGCAAGTCTGGCTTCTGTACTCACAGGATGAAGTAGAGATACTGGATCACGTAGATGCATGTGTGGCAGGGACCCAGTGTACTCGGAGAGACTTTGAACACTTTCACCGTATCTCGAGGATATCACTTCTATTCACACACTAATGTTTAGATGATGTGTGTGGAGTAAATGCACAGAGAAGACTAGCTATATGGTGTACCCTTTTGTTCGTGCATGTACGGGTACATCGTGTCTTTTAATTTATAGAAAGTAAGTTGTGGAACCTCAGAATAAGATGCCTGGACTCCAAGGTAACTAAGAGAACCGACCGAATAAGGAGTCTGATATAAGATTCACGAGATGATCTCTTGAATGGTAGGTCAACTACACTGGTATATCGACATATATAACTATAAGATGGGAAATTCTGTGATGAGAACTGAATGCACTAATTTCAAGCACTCTTTAATGAATGGAACGGCCGTTTTCACCTTTTGACGTGCCTACCAGGCCTAGAGATACTTTGTATGTTCGAGTAACATGGGTTATATCAGAACTAGATCCCATATTCATGCCCAGATTATGATGCAAACTCTTATGTGGTACGTGTTGCTGTGTAAGGCCTAACATCCAGGGATCCATCTTCAGGTAGCATTCTGCCGTGAGGTCCGGTTAGACCACGAGAGAAGCCACTACCATGGACATACCAAGAAGAACCATGCTAAGCGTACTGTCCAGCGGCTGGGCAACCTCTCTGTTGGTGACTGTGTGTGAGGCATCAGTACGTGGCTTACACTATACGAGCTGCAACTAGAAGATAGAGCTTGTGGTCAAGAGAGATGAGACGATTGAACATATGCACTATGCCGGATCGAAATACGGTTGATGATAGTTCTTTATTCAATTTTCTTTCGAGTTCCTCAACGCTAGTCCCACGGCTTTCCGGATGTAACAAATGTGACCTATTGTATGTACCACGGGTATAAGGCTTTGAGACATGTCAATGTGATGTCACATTTGCCAATCATTAAAGATAGTAAAAGGCCAACCTCTGTTGAGACTGTATGACCAATCGGATGTCCTGTTGCCTCGTGTGTACAGGACTAGACTTGTCACAGAGGCTTAAGGTCTCCTTTGGATTGAATGTCATCGATATCATATTCCCCCGGTGGAGGTCACTATACTATGTGCTGTAACAGTATGGTTATCAGTGGTCAGAAGCAAGGGAATACAACTAATTGATGTTCCAGAAAATGAAAAACGTAGGCGCGCATTGCTACAAAAGCGTCTATCCCATGTACCTTCTATATCTATGAAATAATCTTTGAGTCTAGTCTACTCTTGTTTCTCTCTGAATCTTTTTATCCCCCAGCGTGACCCCGATATTTTTGACAACTAGCCACGCGGGTAGCAGTGAAATAGCCCACAGCCCGAAGTTGAGATAAACACTCCCGACCGAAGCCATGATCGTCACAGCGTTAAGACCATACTATCATTCATCATTAGAATCTGCGTGTGAAAAAGCAATTAGGGCAGGATAACTCACCGAAACCGCCTGAGCCGCTGACTCCGTGCCCCGAAGTAAGCCGGAGATACGAATAACCTCCTCTTCGTCGTCGCAAGATTGCCAATAAGGAAATACCTGGTCGGTCATCAGCATCGTCCAGTCACACACACTCTCGTATGCACTTACAAGAACATATAGTTCACCTGGAATCCCACAATCCAGAACAAGTACAATGCGAACCCACGGCCAAAACCCGCGTCTGCCCAATCGTACGACGGCTGGGTCTTGTTAAACTCTGTAACAATGATAGTGCCCCAGACCCACCATGCTCCTTGCAATGTGAGAATAGTCACGAAGGCACTCCTGGTTCGAGTTTTGAGTGAAATACTCTTGGTGTCCAAAAACGCGCCCAGCACGTTGCCAAGGATCAGTGCTATAATACCTCCGAGGAATGAGCCCAATGCACGCGCCCGTACCGAGAACCACAGTGATAGGTAGGTGAACATCACGGCTTCGGTAAAGACTGCCTGACTAATGAGTGGGACGATGAGAAGGAAGTTCCGAGTGAAGAATAGCTTTGCTGTCTCTTTGATCTCGTGAAGCGGACTATTTGCTATGCGAAGTCTCACGGGAAGTCCATCCGTGCGCTGCACTTGAGACGGCGAGTTCAGCAGCAGTCCAGCAAATGGGCCAAGCGCCTGTAAGACGATAAACACGATGAGCACTGAGTAAGAGACACTGCCAGCCGTGTCGCGATTGGAGTTGATGCCCAAATTAATCGCACCACCCAGAATCTGACCACCGACGCGAAAGCTCAACCAGAAGCCGAGGAAGCGCCCCTGGTTGTGTGGCTCCGGATAGGAGATCGCAATGGCGGCCTCAGCCATCCAAAAAATGCCGGCAGACAGGCCACAAAGAGCGGCACCAAACAGAACGAACCATTCGGTGCCGAATCGATTGTTGGTGTAGAGACCTGCAGCATAGGGGGCGTACCCCATTGTGCCGACAATGAGTGTCCATTTGATCCCTATGTAGCGGACCACTACACTCCCAAAGAAACATGAAAGCACCATGAGGCAGAATGTCAGTGCATTTGCTGCGTTAACGAGATACTATGGTCATGAAGTCAACACTTCCTGTCCCAGTAGAAGGCCCGTTGGAGATTACCGACCGGCTTTTCCAACCCTCCTCCGCCGACCGAGTTCATGGCTCCCCAGATACCGGGCGCGAGGAAGTTGCACAGTCCCAAGATTATAGCATTGTAGAATGTTGAGCGATACCATTTCACTGCGGCTGTTAGCATTGCATTTGGGGCTTGGAGCGGTCAGCTGACCTGGATGCTTTTGTGTTGAAGGTAGGTTGTTGTTCCCAATCTCTTCATCAGTCGATTGAATATCTGCTTTTTCTTGGGCCATTTTGAGAGCAGCAAAGTAGGTACCATCCGATTTATGGTTTTGGATATTCGACGTTCGAGAACGAAAGACATTCTGAAGCCATGACGAGCATTTATGTACAAGTTACGGCTCCCAAGCTCTCGTCTAGATGACAATCTAAGCTTATCGCGCAAGTACTAGTAGATTAGAAGCCGTAGGCTCCTGTCTAGCCCAATAGCCAAGGCATATTATGAGACTAAAATGACATTTCATTGCGCTAAACGTGTAGGCTTTCCACCATCAAAGCCGTAACGGCTTTGGCGATGTTGCCGTTGGGGTGCTCGATTACGTGCTCGCACGGCATTTTAGCACAGATTGTGTACATTACTTCACAACAGGGATGCCAATGTTCGTACGAATTTCGTATTTTAAACTGAAAATTACCACAGTTGTTTTCATTCAAGGAATGTAGGACATGCCCCAGAAATTTAGTCTATTTCTGTTCTTCATTTTGTGTCCGTCTCCTTGAACCGAGGATATACACCACTTTGAAGATGCAACACTTGACCGTTATAAATCTGAGACAGGATTATGCCTTAAGTTGCGAAAAGATTTATTTGTCAAATTAAAATAGACATACTGCCATTACTCTAGCGAGTCTTGGGAAATGTTCAGTCTCAATCAAAAACACGCATGATCATGCAAATGCAAAACAGAAGACAAATTCATAAACCCCAGAGGTCGAAATCTACTCCTGATCATCCGGATGGAAAACCAATGCCCTGACTTCAATACTCTCCCGTGGCGACTCATTCACAGTATCTGGGTTAACAAACGCCGAGTGAGGAACTCTGCGGGCCCGACCATCCGTCTTGGAGTCAAAGCACTTGATCAAGGTGACCAAATCTGGCGTCTGGCCGTAGCGATAGTACCATTTAATATCAGGGTTGGGCTTAACTGCGTATGTCTCGCCCTCGCGATTCGGGTAGATCAGCTTGATACCGACGAGGTCGCTATCCGGAAGCGTATGAGCATCCCCGACGGTCAAGGGGTCTTTCAGAATCGGCTTGATAGGCCGCCAAACATTGATGATCTGATACCGTCCTTTGAGGAGCTCCGGGGCGTCCTCTGGAAGATGGTAACTGACACGGTTCTTGGCTGCCTCATAGGACTGGTCGATGTGCACACGCTGAACAGGTCCCCGTTGGGGTGTGGACTGAGCCCGCACATCCTTGGGTGCACGGCGAATGGTATGGTCGAAGATGAAGACACGAGAAGCGCCAGTTCTATGGTACTTTAGTTAGTGTCTGAGAATTGGAGAAATTCGGGGTGCACGTACGCGTCTTTCAATAGCTGCTCCGTCTCTGGATAGTATTCGCTTGCAATTTTCTCATCATCGAGGAAGTCTTTCTCACGACTCTCGTGGTAGTAGTACTGAAAACCATTCTTGTCCAGTGTGTAGTCCAGTTCATGGCCACTCACATCGTGAACGGTGACGGCGAGCTCGACGGACGGCCGTTCGTAACTCTCAGGCCGTGTGACGTAGTTTGGGGTGAGATGGGAGCCATCCTCAAGCTCTTTCAGGAAGCGCAGCTTGGTTTGAACATGGTGGGGCTTTTCCGAGGAGGTAGGCACAGAGGTCTTTTGTGTAAGTGGCGATGGTTCGTGGCTGGGCGGGACTTGAACTGCAGCAGAGGCCATGATGGTTCGTGTGGTATGTACCTAAGATTGCACTAAGAAAATTGATGACGTTTGAAACTTGCTCTAGCCGTTATGCTTTGATCTACATTGGGGCTATAAGGTGAAGAGCTACTTTATATACAGGCCCGTTAGTGAAACGTGGAGAGGAATTGGCATTTGTCAGATTCGCACGCCATCATGCAGATGCATGTGGCAGTCGATTCGTGATGATAAATAGAAAATAGGCCTATTGGAGCTTTGACAAGGCAGGGAACGCATGCAAGTATGACCGTTGAAATACCACAAAAGACGCAATAGGGAGACCATTCACAGCAGCTGGCGAATAGAAGGACTAGTATGTATTAATAATGAGGTTAAATCAAGTCACCAGAGCACAACAAATAGGGTTCTAATAGGTCTACGCATTTCTAATCCATAGAATCGCTTGACGTCAGTGCTTACATATCCGAATTCAAGTGATTCTATACGAGCGAACAAGCTTTGTAATGCCCGTCCCATCCTCGAGCACGCCCTTCTCCTCTTCGAGCTGATAATCCCCCCATCGCGGAAGTAAAACTGTCCATATGTACCAATAGAAGACGCCAAATAAAACCCTAGTTCTGTTAGCTTAGTAAAATGCGAGGCCAGTGCTAGGATACTTACACTCCAGCCCCAACAATAGCGTACGTGGCATAGAAGAAATGCACATCTCCTTTCCGATCCGGTGGAGGGAAGAAAGGAGCCGCCAACAAAGCGAGACAGACCACGATACGTAGCCATACTGCCCAATTCCAGGCCTTGAACGGACGGTGCAGGGATGGTTCGCGCCATCGGACAATAAGAAGACCGACCGAGATTGCTAAGGCAAAGATCTGCCCAGGATAGCCCTCGACGTCCAAGATAAAGTTGTAAACATCTCCTTGCGGCGGGAGGGAAATTACAAGAACAGATGGCACGTAGTGTACAAGAAGTCCCCCAAGTGGAGAGTTGAAAGGTCGTGATGAGGACAGAAGATGTGACCATGGTAGAAAGCCCTGACGAGCAATCTCTTGGTTCACACGAGCCTGGTATTAACAATCAGCTTGGGGATATCCAGATAGCAATACGCACAGTCCATACCAGAGCAAATGTCACCACCATCACATTTCCTGCTGCTGAAATGGCAATGGCCAGCGGGAAAAGAACTCGGCCCACATGTGCTCCAAACAACCGCTCAAAGAGTAGGCCCGCAACCAGTTCACCACTGTTCTTAATCTCGTCAAGGGGAACTACAAGAAAGTAGGATATGTTTGCTAGGAAGTAAAGACCACCCGCAGTCAGCAGGCCTGCTGGGCAAACCGTCTTTACCGTCTTGATCGGGTCTTTGACTTCATTGAGGACGTTGTTAACATTGTTCAGTCCCGCATATGAATAAAATATCTTGAAGATTGACGTTGAGATTAAGCTCCAGCTCCAGTTGGAGCCTTCCCACAACGTATCCCATGCGAAAGGGTTGTTAGTGACTGCACGATCGGATTCCCCGAGTGATTCCTCATAGGGGCGCAGAAGAATAACCCAGATTCCAGTCAAAGACATGGCCATTATGAGACCGATCTTGACCCATCCCAAGATGTTCTGAATCCATATTCCAGTTTTGAGAAAGCAGCCATGCATCACGGTGATGAGGGTTAGAAGGCCAACAGCGAGTGCCTTATGTTGATACTCGGTCGGCTCGATGTTGAATGCGAACAGGGTGTATTTCGCAAAAATAATGGAGTTGCTCGCTGTGAAGCCTAGTAGTACTGCATGTACGGCGATGAGAGTTGAAGCGAGAAATTTAGGCCTAGGGTAAGCGTACTCCAAGTATACCTATAGGGAGTTAACATCAACGATCGGTTAAATATGGCCCCTGTAGGCAGTTAAGACGAAAGATAGCAATATGGCTGCAGACTTACCTTATCTCCACCAGAACGAGGCAGCATACATCCAAATTCCATTGATACAGCCATTCCACAGGCCGCTAGGACTGTTCCGACCAGCCATAATAATAACGTCAAGCCGATACTTCCGGCCGACTTGACGATTGACCCTGGGGTCGCAAACACGCCACTCCCGATAACACGCGATATAACAAGTATATATGCGCTAGACCAGTTGAGCGCTTTTCCATGAGATGATGCTTCGGGCAATTTGCTTTGGAATGTTGGTTGTACCGGAGCTTCGAGATTCGGGTCGTGTACCGCGTCATAAGTAGGAGAAGCCGAGTCCAACAAGGGCTCTGTTTCGGTATTGCTCGCCATGGTACCAGGGTATTGACAGCGTCCGTTACTGTTTAATCCAAGTTCAAGCTCTTGGTTCAGTACCAGCTGAGCCTGGCACTTTTCATTCAACTCACCAACTATTCAGGGGATTCTAGTCACCGAGTTTTAAGTAGAGGCTGTCATCAAAGCAAGGGCAAGGCTTCCAGCATGTCAATGGATATCATTCAGAGTCGGCAGGACCGGTACTGATAGGTAATTCACCCCCCAATGATTCCTGGCACGTCATTCTGGTCAGGAGTTATGTGTGCGGTTCCTGGAATGCTGAGTGGTCGATAGTATCGAGACATCAGACACATCACAGCTCTCGGAGGCCGGCGGCATTGGTCAGCATGTGGGATTCAGAGAGGGTGCTGAATAAAAGGCTCGACAGCCAACTTTACAATTGGACTGGACTTGAAGCCTGACGAGGCTGCACTGATGATAAACCTACGACACCCCCAGACATCATCGTACTCCACAAAGGGACCATAAGGACCCTCTACTTTATTTTACCAATTTAGCCCAATATTTCTATATGCACTATGATTTAATAATTAAAGATCCAATGGGGGCGATCATACCCCGTGAAATTTTGTAATTGTCTCGGGGCTTGTATTATTAACGTCCTGGTCGTGATTGTTCCTCATGTTCTGCCCTAAATCACATCATCGGATACTTTTATTGGCTTAATATGATCCCCCAATGCAAGACTATTGCGATGGTACTGTATTATATGCGACGCTTGGCAGCATTGTAACCATGCCCGGAGGTGATTCCGATCCAAGTACATTGATAAAGTACACCGAATGTAGCTAGATATTGATATATAGTCAAATCGGCACCGAAGCTCTACGACTACTACTTGAACAATATCAATTTAGCAAACTGCAAGGGATGGCAGTCGGGATTCTCTGCCAACATTCCTTTTGATAACCATCCATCACGTCATATCAACCCCGCGATTCGCAATGCCCAAATATTAGAAATCCCCCAACGAGACGGACAAAGACCAAGACAAGTTTCAAAAATACGTAGGGCGTGGCTCTAATGTAACTTGGATGGATGGATCCTTTAGGGCTCGCG